GTTAACAAAAGGAGCGATAATTTCTTCTCTATACCTTTGCGCAGTAAGAGTACCATTAAAAAAAATAGGTCCATAAATCCTCCTTCGATTGAGAGCACACCAAACTCCAATTTTTTGAGCGTGTAGAGGGCCCTCGACAAAAAAGTTATCTGGTTTTTCAGAAGACCACATTCTCATATTCTGTGAGTTTACGTAACCACTTAAATGAAACCAGGCTTCATCAGAAAAAAAGGTGATATTATGAAGTTCACCGTAGTTGTTTAAAAACCATTCACAAAATACAGCCCGTCGCGGAAAATCAACTTCATGAAGTTCTTGCTGACAAGTTAAACGATAGGAGAACAAACGCAAATCTTTTTTTAACACTGTGTGGCAGGTACCGACTGATACTCCCACCATTTGTGATAAAACACGTACAGAAGTTCTTGGCGCATTTTCCATTATTTGTTGGACATTTTCTTTTAATTCTTCAGTCCGCTTTTTAGGTCGGCCGCTTCCTTCTTTTCTTGTTACACTGCCCGTTTCACGAAAAACATTAACACAACGCTGAACTGCACTTTGAAAAATTTTGTACTCAACAACGCCGGGAAATTGATTTTGAAATTCTATGAAACATTCCTCAATAGAATACTTCCATATTCCATCAATCTTGCGTCCATTTCTAAAGTAGGACTCTATGATAAACACTTTTTGTTCTTGAGAAAACACCATTTTAAACGCTTTTTAAAACGAAAATATTCAAATTGATAGCGGCGATATAGCGCTTTGACAGATGACGTTTAAGTTCATTTGCTATACGCTACGCCCTACGTCCAAATTTTCAGAACCAACTTGACCACGTTTTTATTTGAACGCTCGTTATATGTATACAGATATATAGGCTTAGGGAAGTTTTAGAGAGATCAGATTTTAACTAGCCAGCGAAGTGTACTCGTCAACTAAAATAAAGTCGTTGTAATAATATTTAATATTGCAGTTTTTCTTACAAGGGACAATAGAGAAAGTTAAAAAACTTATTCGTATTGTCGGAAAATGATGACTCATGCCCAATCTCGGACGTAAACACCGAGAGGCATCTAGACATCTATGTGTGCGGGACCCGAAGCGAAGGGGGAAGAAAGAATAAACATTCTGGCTAGAGCGGAATAAGGGCTGACTTGAGGCATTCATTAATCATTAGATATACACCAACTACGTAGCATGTAAAATACTTACTGTTCGAAGTTAATTTAATTATAACGTTTTACAATATTTCCGAGTTTTATTGCATTATTTCTAACAGTATGTTTTACAACAATTGGTTCCACACATTCATGCGAAAATTTTTCATGGTAGGTACGTTTAAGGGATTTTCATAGTTAATAATAGTACATTATAACTAACTAGGTTTATGTCTATATAACCCATAGGTTACAATCTATTGCTAGTTAATTATGTGGCTGAAGACAGACACGGATTCAGATTCAGGAAACGAATTTTTACAGCGGACCAGTTCATTATTGAAAATAACCTAAAATTTTTAATATTATTTTGCTTCTTTAAGTTTTCACAAGTTAAATTATTATATGTTATAAAAATAAAAAAGTAAATTTTTTAAGGTTACTTTTTAACATATCACGTTATTTCACAAAAAAATCTAAGGTTTTAAAAATGTTAAAGATTCAAATTCAGATTTATTTATATCCCAAGGAATTATAGGTACATATCGTGGAAACGGAAATATTCTGGATTTACGAGGGTCACACGATTTTTTACTCTTCAGGATCGAAAAAAAAACGTAGATCCCGCAAATACGCCTGTTAGAATGAAATTTATACTGCGATTTACTTATGTCCTAAGGAATCATACATATCATAGAAACGGAAAAATTCAGAGGCTACGAGGGTCAAACGATTTTTTTTCTCTTCAAGGTTGAAACAGGCGTGGATCTCGCAAATAGGACTGCTACAGATTGAAATTTATACTGCGATTTACTTATGTCCTAAGGAATCATACATATCGTAGAAACGGAAAAATTCAGAGGCTACGAGGGTCAAACGATTTTTTTTCTCTTCAAGGTTGAAACAGCTGTGGATCTCGCAAATATGACTGCTACCGATTGAAATTTATACTGCGATTTACTTATGTCTTAAGGAACCATACATATCGCGAATACAGAAAAATTCAGAGGCTACGAGGGTCAAAGGATTTTTTTACTCTTAAGGGTTGAAAAATCCTACATCTCACAAATGCGGCTATTACAGATTGAAATGTATACTAAAATTTACATATGCCCTAAGGAATCACACTTAGAATATATAGAATATAAAAAGTAAATTTATAAGATTAGGTTTTTTCAACTCTGAAGTGTAAGAAATTCGTTTCACCCACGTACCCTCTGAATTTTTCCGTTTCCATGATATGTACGATTCCTTAGGACATAAGTAAATCTCAGTATAAATTTCAATCTGTAGCAGCAGCATTTGTGGGATCTACGGGTTTTTCAACTCTCGTAGCCTCTAAATTTTTCAGTTTCTACGATATGTATGATTCCTTAGGACATAAGTAAATCGCAGTATAAATTTCAATCTGTAACAAGCGTATTTGCGGGATCTACGTTTTTTTTTCGAGCCTGAAGAGTAAAAAATCGTGTGACCCTTGTAAATCCAGAATACTTCCGTTTCCACGATATATACCTATAATTCCTTAGGATATAAATAAATCTCAATTTGAATCTGTAACATTTTTAAAACCTTAGATCGTTTTGTGAAATAACGTAAATGTTAAAAAGTAACCTTAAAAAATTTACTTTGTTTTATTTTTTTTAACATATAATTATTTAACTTGTGAAAAAGAAGCAAAATAATATTAAAAATTTTAGGTCATTTTCAATAATGAACTGGTCCGCTGTAAAAATTCGTTTCCCGAATCTGAATCCGTGTCTGTCTTCAGCCACATAGTTAATTTAATTACGATATCTAGTACACAGCAGAGGTACTATCATTAAAAGTTTACCCACTAAACATTTTTCAGTTTCTGACATGTTCCAGAAACGTTTCCATTTTTTTTGAAACGTTTCATAAAAATCCAAGCAACGTTCTGGTAACCCAATAGACACCGAAGATGTCCGCCTCAAAATACGTTTCCAATGAAACGTTTCAAAAAATTGGTTTCAGTAACATTCTTTTGATGTTCCATTTATGCACTCGATATTTTTGTTTTACGTTTCAGTATATTTTCAGAAATGTTTGAGTAACATAATAATTTTATTACCATATTGTTCTCATAATGCTCTCAACTTTAGATAATTTCCATTTCAGAAGCGTTTTTGAAACAGTATAAACAGTGTGAGTAATTTTTTAAATATTTCTAATACTCTTTTGTAATATTTTTATTTGTATTGTGAATGACTTAATTCGTAATCCAGACAATTTTTTCTGATTTCTCAAAAAATTTAACTGAAAAATGTTATTGTATATTAAAAAAAATAACTGCTCTTCTAGTTTGGGGATGCAGCAACTTTTATCAAGAATTTTTTTCTTTTTGAGAAGCCACTGAAAAAGTTTCTAATATGGATTACGGATTCTGCCATTCATCGTACAAATAAAAATGTCACAAAACAATATCAGAAGCATTTTAAAAAAGCTACACATCATTTTATATTGTTCAAATACGCTTCTGAAATGGAAATTTTCTAATGTTGAGACCATCATGAATATGGTAACAATGACGAAATGATAATTAAAAAAAATTAGTTATGATAATGAATCTTGAAATGGTAGGTACATGAAAAACAAATAACATTACTGCAAAATAATATAAAGAACTTACAATTTCTTCTACGCATAGTCAATATTACATCTAACCTTTTTATAATAAATTTTACAGTAGAAATAAATAAGATACAAAAGGATATCTTGAAAAAATAAATATTTGTAGGTATACTTAAACTCTTTTATTTAAGCATTCCTATACACGTACACAAATATAAACATTTGTACAAAATATAAAATAAATGACATATATTTCACTTGATTCTTCCGTATTTCAAATAGTTCTCCGAAACGTATAGTTCCATGTTCCATTTTTTTTAGTTTTTGTCCTCTTGTCTTTAATAGGTATTAGGTAGTGGGTATAATAACTATGTTTAGGTAGATGTGACGCAAAATTCGAAATCTCTACACATATCGTTTTAAACATTTTGCATCAATATTCATTATTTTATATGCACCTTACAATAACCACAACTGCACACACTATAAATTATCACATAAAATAGCATCAAAGTAACGATCATGGAGACTATTCTGATTCTCCCTGGTAACGATGAAGAACAACTAAGCCAGGCAAACGGGTAAAGGCAAATCGCAAACCTAACTTACCTAACCTAACACCTAACATAATACGAATTGAAAACGGCACACGAGAAATAAATAAATTCGATCTGTTACGCGTGGTCTGCGCAAGTCACGAACATACATTTTTTCTAGACTTGTGTTATAAATATGCTACCACAATTTTTTTTCTGTTTATGTCTGGTTGTACATATAACAAAGGCAAATGAACTAACGCTTGCTATAATGATGGGGTTTCAGAGCAAAATTTAAGTAATGCCGAATGGAAGTTCCATAAGGTAAACAAAAGCAAAGGGTTGTTTGTTTGTCGTTGTTACGTTTCAACGTTTCGGAGATCGAAAGGGAATGTTTCGAGTAGTTTCAAACTCTTCAATGGGAATGTTTCGGCTATGTTTCATTAAGTAAGTTTTCAAGTGCTACATTTCTGTAATGAAACAGCAACGTTTCTAGTTATTGTTTCAAATGTGTAGTAAAACAGCTCATTTGCAACGTTTCATTTACGTTTCGTGTTTAGTGGGTATTGAATCCTCCTGCATTAACTTTTTATTTCTAAGAATAAGTGGATATACAAGTTATTAAATAAAATAATTAATACCAATATTTAAAATATATGCGATATATGTATACAGAAATAATTTTAATTTGGAACTAAAATGAATGACTTACCTTTCTGGTTATAGGGGAAGCACCGCAATAATTACAAGACAATAAGACATTCTAGAAAATTTCATAGAGGATAGAGGAAGTTGACCACTTGATCTTGACAGTGTTCATTCATGAACCACTAACTACGAAATATATAGGATTAGCATTTGCGACGCTCAACTCCAGGAATAAAGTGCGCCAACATTAACTGCATGTCAACTATTAGGAGTCTACGAAAATTAATTGTAATTATCTCAAGATATTCTTTATTTCTAAAACCTTAAGAATAACGAGAACAGATGTAATAATCCAACAGCCAAAGTGAATTTCTGTAAAACCCAGTTAAAAGTGTCGCTATTTAAACATACTACATAGAAGCGCGCTTGCTGTCTCCAACATGGAAACATCGATCAGTACAACATCGATACATGCAAACCATTTGCGCTTGCGCGGTTCATGCATGCGTCAGACGCATGGTATTCGAAACTATGCTATACCTATAACCACACTATAACCCTGGTAGCAAAATCTTGCACAAGACAATTATACAAGACTGCTGTGTACCTACTGCTGAAATCAGCATCAGGTTTACTGCAAGATTCATTGTGCAATTGTCTTGATCAAATCATTCAATGGATTTGATTCAGGGCACTTGAGCACAAAGGGGTAAATTAAAGCTAGTGACTATGTTGCAGACTTACATTAGAACTAAGACATATTGTACTTGACTTATACTAATTCACCCCTTTGGACTCAAGTACTTTTGGTTAAGTCTGGTGCAAGTATTGTAAAAGTATCTTGCATAAGAAACGATATAAATTTCAGCAATAGACACAAAACAATCTGCCACAATTTGGCTATTTCAAGTAAACTTGAAACAACTTGTATTAGAATTGCACACGATTGTGCTACCAGGGAAACAATCGCCACTCGATGTATTTAAGGCTGCNTTGTTTTTCATGTACCTACCATTTCAAGATTCATTATCATAACTAATTTTTTTAATTATCATTTCTTCATTGTTACCATATTCATGATGGTCTCAACATTAGAAAATTTCCATTTCAGAAGCGTATTTGAACAATATAAAATGATGTGTAGCTTTTTTAAAATGCTTCTGATATTGTTTTGTGACATTTTTATTTGTACGATGAATGGCAGAATCCGTAATCCATATTAGAAACTTTTTCAGTGGCTTCTCAAAAAGAAAAAAATTCTTGATAAAAGTTGCTGCATCCCCAAACTAGAAGAGCAGTTATTTTTTTTTAATATACAATAACATTTTTCAGTTAAATTTTTTGAGAAATCAGAAAAAATTGTCTGGATTACGAATTAAGTCATTCACAATACAAATAAAAATATTACAAAAGAGTATTAGAAATATTTAAAAAATTACTCACACTGTTTATACTGTTTCAAAAACGCTTCTGAAATGGAAATTATCTAAAGTTGAGAGCATTATGAGAACAATATGGTATAAAAATTATTATGTTACTCAAACATTTCTGAAAATATACTGAAACGTAAAACAAAAATATCGAGAGCATAAGTGGAACATCAAAAGAATGTTACTGAAACCAATTTTTTTAAACGTTTCATTGGAAACGTATTTTGTGGAGGACATCTTCGGTTTCTTTTGGGCTACCAGAACGTTGCATGGATTTTTTATGAAACGTTTCAAGAAAAATGGAAACGTTTCTGGAACATGTCAGAAACTGAAAAATGTTTAGTGGGTTAAATGTATATAATGTTCTTAAAAGTCTATTATCATTGTTATCAACGTTAAAAAATAAGCAAATTGCCACAAAACACTCACGAGAAAACAAAAAACCAAAACGTAAACACACAGACATTTTGTGCGATGACAACAATTCTGCACTTGTCGTATAATCTGAACGAGCGAACTTCAGATTTCGACTATCTTTCGAATCCAAGTTCCAACACCCGGAACAGCGCTCCAATGCAAGCCCCCTATGTAAAACCTGAAGCTGAACAAACATATTCCACAATGTTTCCAATCCCGAGCCCAAAGCCGCTGTTAGAGGAGAAAGTAAAACTTTCACCTATGTTTCCAATCCATACCTCAAAATCCAGCACCAAGCTCCAAGCCGATTTCAAGCATAAGAAATCGAAGGCAAAGCATTAACTTACGCAATGTTTCGAATCCTGAAGCCGAAGTCGCTGTCAGGACGGAAAGTAAGATTTTCACCCAAGTTTCCAATCCGAATCCAAGAATCCCGGACAACGTCCTAAGTCCGATATCCAGTAACACAAACCAAGTCCTAAGCCATAATTTACACAAAGCTTCCATTCGCCAAGCCGATATCAATACCAGGGCGAAGACGGAAGAAATCGACAAGGTTTCGAATCCGGCTACTATCCAGCCGCCTCGAACCAAGAAGCAGCAGTATCCAAGGAAAACAAACAAAAACACCTATGTTTCAGATTTCCAGCATCGCAGAGCCGCAGTTGAGCCAAACAAGCCAAATAACGAAAATCACCGATGTTTCCAATCCACCTGCGAGAAGCCGCAAATCATCAAAAATGCGCCCTCTGGTGATGGAGACGAGTTAGGCCACATCGAGGACGACCGATGCGAAGCCGACAACGCGCCAGCAGCCACCTTCCAGGGAGTCAAGAATTCGACCCACTTTCCAATGGTCCCCGGCCTTGCAGGGAAGCACCGGTCAAGAAGAGGGAGAAAATTCGTAGAAAAAACCCGGGAATCAACCGCGGATCAAGGCCGCGAATCACCTACCGAGATGGACCGTCAACTGCAGGCATTTGCAGTTATTTAACCGGATCGACGTATCCGGCCAGTCTCTGTGTGGGACGCTCCAAATTTTAGTTGCGACATTAAAGCCTCTACAGTCATTATTACAGCCTTTCGCACACATTTAACCTATTGTTAGAGTCAGATTTATGTTAATATATATATATATAACCTAACCTACCTCTTATCTATAAAAGAAAGGTAAAACGTCGCCCGGGCATTTATTTCTGACCCGCGGCAGACTCAAATCACGGGCCATTAGCCAGCCCTATCATAAAGTGTTAGATATAAGCTCTAGTGAAGTGCATCAAACCGCCCCTATAGTTATCAGAACTATATGAGCGTAGTGTTTACCTCTAGATATATATAATTATAAGAATTATATATACAAACTACCTAATCAACGGCTCTCATAGCCGCCTAAGCTCAAATATCAGAGATAGCGGGACGTATTGGCGCTTAAAGTCACTTTTCACCTATCTTTCCAATACCGATCCTATATCTCATATCATTTCTATCCAAATTCCCTTTGTTAGAGTCAAACCTCTCATACATCCTATCGAAGGGAACGACAAGTTGTTACAAAATTAGATCGCGTCCTCTCACCTAGCCATGCCTAAGCACAATATTACCAGGTTAGCTACATCTCGAGCAGAGTCCAGCGCGACAGCGCGAGAAGCATTTAACATGTCCAGAAACCCTGAGAGCCGCAACCTAATGGTAAGTGCAACACGGGATGATGAGGTACGACGACACGTTGTTCTTATAGCCCATTTACACGAGGCCAGTTGTGAAGACATTCCATTAAGCCAATCCAATGACCAAGTTGAGGCTATTGGCTCCTAAAATTAGAAACCGTTCTAATTAGTGGAGTGGCTTGGTTACCTTGGTTACACGATGCCAATGTTGGATTGGCTTAGTGGAATGTCTTCACAACTGGCCTTGTGTAAATGGGTCATTATGGCTAGTGATAGGAGATTTCGAGTGAAAAATCGAGTGGTACTCGACTATTGAGATCTCTCGAGATATCTCGAGATGTTTACTCCCACCACTCGAGTGATTATTACCCTACGGTTGCACCCCAAAATGTTAGTGCATACTGCAAATAGTCACTGATTGCGTGAACTTTTTTTTTTTAGCCACGCTTATAATATATGACTAATACAAACATATTTGTGCATCGCTGGGATGAAAACGACCAATATCTCGTATCTCGACTGATCACTCAATTATTAGAAGTACTCGATTACCGATAACTCGATTATCAAAATTGGTCGATTATGAACATCACTACTTATGGCAATAAGCTATCCTCTTATACACTGTAGGAAAGCGCCGATGGTCTATTACAAGTTATGTGAGAGCGATAAAGTAAGACATAGAAATCCATGCGATAGAGAAGGATGGCTATAATGAAGGTGTATCATAGTCAACGCCCATTTCGCCCTTCCACAAATAAGAAGTGGATCTTATTTGTGGAAGGGCGAAACGGGCGGTGACAAAGAGAAGCCTTCATTATAGCCATCCTTCTCTATCGCATGGATTTCTATGTCTTACTTTATCGCTCTCACGTAACTTGTAATAGACCATCGGCGCTTTCTGACCCTGTATACGATTCTTGAGCGAAGGCGACTTAAAATTGAGAGCCAACCTAAAGGATCCAAATTCTCTGTCACTTGGTCTCAATTCTAAATATCTATTTATATACTCACAAATTTGAATCAGACCCATCAGGCCAATACAAGTCAAATAGTAGGTAATTTTTAAATTAATAATTCTCTGCGGTGGTATTCTGTAACATGGTAGAGTAGTTTCAAAATCTCATGAGCCGCGAAATGCGCGAAGTATCCACATTCCACATAATTCTTCTAATAAGCACGTTGTGAAAACATTGACTCAGAATTAGACCACGTGCATTACAACCAGAAATGAACTAAGGCGCTCGGGCATCGATAAAGTCAACTGGCGAACGTTCGTTATGTATATTTTTATTGCTTAAATTAAAATAATAAAGAATAGAGCATTTTTTTATGATATTTGTAATCGGAACGAAGGCTTGTTTACACTACGGGAGCTCGAGATAGACTGAATAATGGATGTAATGTTTTTAGGACGTAGAATAATTTAGGCGACGCGCGACGGTCTGAATTGTTTCTGTGCATATCAAGGTCAAAGCTCATAAAATTTTTAAACAAATCTACGGATTACAAAGTGGACCGCTGTAAGAAAGTTGCAGAATACAGCTACTGATTATATTGCAAAATGTACTGGTAGCAGGAATAAAAAATTGCATTTTTGGAAAATGAACAAGCATTAAGTTAAGAAACAGAACAAGCAAGCATCTTAAAATTGACGTTTTCTTATAGATTTTGTAAAAAAATTGTAATTAACAAAAATTGTTTTTTTTAAATACAAAATATTTTGCATTTTAATAAATTCAGACAGATTTAAAACTAATTAGACCAGTCGACAGTCTATCATTATTTTCTGTATACAGATGTTGTATTTAATTTCCAATAAGGTAAAATCAAATATTTTACAAGAAAGATCAACAAGAACGTGTTCTACTGGTCTCGAATATATTATGATGGTTACCTCCACTCTGTTCAGTTTCTATCCTTATGTAAAAACAATTTGAAAAACTTTATTTCTATAATATATTTTAACATAAATATGCCTAAATAATATAAAAATTAGTAAATATACATAATATATTAATTAGAATTAACATTATTAATAGAAAATCGTGCACTACATCGTTAGATATACCGTGCTTTCACGGGAAAACACTACATAGGAGGGGCGTCGGTCAAACTCGTGCGGCTTCAGCGGTGGGGATGTCGATCTCTGTGTGCGCGGCCGTGCGGCGCTGTGGCGAACGGAATCACATCTCACATCAGTCAGGTTGCAGCACCCAGCGCTCCCCACCCTTTCGAACTTACGAATTCGAACGAAGCTAATTCCCTATGTAGCGTTGTACGGTCAAAGCACGGTAGATACATACAAAGACTGAGGAAGGGTGTCTTTAATCAGAATTGGGTTTATTCGTATATTTTTTTACAAAAAAATCATACAATAAAAATATTACACAGGCAAGAATAAATATATATTTCAATGTCAGTTTTAAACTCTAGCGTTTTGGTTCTGAACAATCAAGTTTTTTATATAAAAATGTTGCAGAGAAAATATTTTCAAGTGAACAGAAAGGGACAACAAACAAACTTTTTTATTAAGCAATACGTTTTGTAAAAAGAAATTTAATCTTCCAAATAGAACCATCAAGTAGGTACACTGTTATTCTTTCTACATCATCCATCTTAAAGAGGATTGTGGTCATGCTACTCCATAAAAAATAACAGCAAACGCAGCGTTGATGATAACTTCCAGTAAGTTGCTATATAATTATAATGTTTAAAACATTAAAATTTAATTAAATCTTCTAGCTTTGGGCGTAGGTAGAATTTTTGCTTGGGCTGGGCCTTGAGAGTCTGACCAAAAAGACAATTTTATTGGATCGTTTCTTTTTCTGGAATGGACACGCGGGCTCTCTATCTCCGTCAAGTTCCTTGTTTAGTGGGTAAGCAAATAATCCAAGGTGTCCCGGAAATGGTGGGCAATCTCTCGGATATGGATAGATAATGAGAAAATAATGTCACAAGTTCATATAAAAATTTTTCCTCCGGGCTCACCCTGTAGAGTTATTAGCTCTTGAAGTTGAGAATTAAAAATGGTTTTTTTGCTGTAATTTCTGTATTTTTCAATAAATTTTGAAAATTTTTTGGCTGGATCTGTAATTTTTGAAGCTGCTTTAGATGATAATATGAAATCCTCGATAATAATTATGGGGGCCCGGGAGAAAAGCACCCCCACCAAAATTTCTAGAAAAAAAATTTTGTTCCACTATACCCCAAATTTTCCATCATTTTATAAAAATTTATGGTATTTTACGTAAAAAAGGTATACTTGTTGAATATCCATAAAGTAGATATTTGTTGAGATAAACCCGTTGAAAGAGGAAGGTACCATTTAATTTGAGACAATTTATTTAATTGAAACACAGATTTAATCGTGGTTGGCTTTGACATGTCAGGGTATGCCAAAGGCAATTAAATTGTCAAACTTGTCAAATACGTAGTTTTAAATCTAAGACTCATCTCATAACTCATAATTTGTTATAAAATATGGAGTATTCCAATGAAGAATATGCTGATATGCATTTAATGTACGGGCGGGCTCTTTGTAATGCTTCGGCAGCAAGAAGATTTTATCAGCATTCTTATCCTAATAGAAGGATTCCGGATCGCAAAACTTTCGAACTTATTGATCAAAGATTAAGAGAAACTGGTAAAATACGATTACTATTATTAAACAAAATGGATATTAAATAAATTTTAATGTCTTTAGGTCAGTTTGCTCCTGTTACTGCAAGCAGGGGTGCCCCGCGAACAGCACGTACAGTTGAAGTAGAGGAAAATATACTGGACGAAGTTGCTGCTCATCCAACAGTTAGCATTAGGTCATTATCTTCTTTTACCAATGTTCCAAAGACCACTGTTGCAAGAATCCTTAGAGAACAGCTTCTTCACTTTTACCATATCCAAAAAGTGTATGCTCTTAACCCTGATGTTTTTCGTGCAAGAGTACAGTTTTCTCAATGGTTTCTTCAGAGACATGAGCAAAATCCTATGCTTACGAGACTAATTCTGTATACTGACGAAGCAAGTTTTGGGAGGAATGAAGTTATTAACTACCATAATTTACATTATTGGTCTGATGAGAACCCACACGCTATTATTGAAACTAAGCACCAAAGACAATTTTATGTTAATGTTTGGAGTGGAATTATTGGTCCTTACTTATTGGGTCCATTTGTGTTACCCCCTAGACTGAATGGTCAAAGTTACCTAGATTTCCTTGTGCATCAATTACCACAACTGTTAGAAGATGTTGATCTTGAAACTAGAAATGCACTGATATTCATGCACGATGGGGCGCCGCCTCACTTTAGTGCTGCAGTAAGTGACCATTTAAACGAGGTATATCCTAATCGCTGGATAGGTCGCGGTGGACCTATTCATTGGCCTGCCCGAACTCCAGATATGAACCCACTTGACTTTTTCCTTTGGGGGCACTTGAAAAATCTTGTTTATTCCACACCTGTAACCACTAGAGAAGAATTAGAAGAAAGGATTTTTTATTGTGCAAATGAAATACGACAAAATCCTGAAATGTTATGGAGAGAGCAACAGTCTTCTGTTAAACGAGCTCGTATTTTTATAAGAGAAGGTGGAACTAATATTGAGAATTTACTATGAATTATATTAGTTGATTGTCATGCACTTTTCGTTTAGTTAGTTTAGTTAAGTCCAAATTCTCATAATTTGGAACACTGCTATGGCAAATCATTTGTCCTTTATTCTGATATGTAAAAGCCAACTACGATTAAACCTGTGTTTCTGTTATAAAATGTCTCAAATTAAACAGTACCGTTGTCTCTAAACTTGTTTTTCTACAAACGTCATTAAGGTATAATTTTAACGCATGCTGTCAGTCAATTTCATTTTATGATACTAGTGTTAAAAGTGAATTATTTTTAGCACTAGTGTTAAAAGTAAGTCGTGTGATTTACCTTTAAGATCACTCTTATAAAATCACACTTTAGAAACTGTCAGTACACGTTAAAAATTATACAAAATTATATTTTATGGATATTCAACAAGTATACCTTTTTTACGTAAAATACCATAAATGTTTATAAAATGATGAAAAATTTGGGGTATAGTGGAACAAAAATATTTTTTCTATAAATTTTGGTGGGGTGTGCTTTGCCCCCGGGCCCCCATAATGATTATCGAGGATTTCATATTATCATCCAAAGCAGCTTAAAAAATTATAGATCCAGCCAAAAATTTTTCAAAATTTATTGAAAAATACAAAAGTTACAGCAAAAAAAACATTTTTAATTCTCAACTTCAAGAGCTAATAACTCTACAGGGTTTATATGAACTTGTGACATTATTTTCTCATTATCTATCCATATCCGAGAGATTGCCCTGTATATCAGTATATGTATAACATATCATACTGTACCATTTATTGAATCAAATATTAAAGGTCTTAACATAAGTATTATTTACAAAGAAATGCTGGTGACGTCAGGTAAATTCGACTACTATCTTGACGACTTATATCGAATCCGTTGTTGTCCTTTGTTTTTTTTGTAAATGCTTTTGCCCCTGTTTACAGTACCTAAGAATAGCTTTATTCGCGGTGCAACAATTACGTAGTAATAACATCCCATACTATTCTGTCCGTTGCTCAAATTAGTTTGCGAACTCTTACAACCGCGAACAAAGTTAATGAATTAATTAGATTTGTTCTTGTATAGACACCATGGATCTAAATCTCTTCAGTTCACTTCGACTTACTGAAAATAAGATAAATATGGTAAAATATCTAATAGTATAAGTGGTAAATATAATAATAAATATGATGCATTTAGGGAAGATTCTACTCACGAAAACAATGGCCCTCAGCTAATGATTGAAGCTTAATATTAAAAATCATTAAAAATCCTTAAAAAAAAGCATGCCCACGCGAGGATTTTATAATAATTTTGGACAGAAGGAGAGCATTATATGAGAGAAGTATTATGGTTATTCTGACATAGTTTGAAGAAAAATATTTAATTTTTTTTGACAATTTTGTCATTATTTCAAAATCAATAATAAATATCAAATAATAGCAAACAACACTACCCCTTATATATTAACTTGTAATTTTCTCTGCAATAATTTTTTTATTGCAATAAACAAAAGCTGTGGCCATATACAGGGTGGTTTTTTATGGCTCACCATTGACTTCTGGGAAACCGTAAAATGTACAGGTGGCTCAAATTAGAAAAAAGTTGTGACTTTTCAGGGTCATTAAAATAAACCAAACCGAGCAAAGGTATCTGCTGCCGTTCGTGAAATATTGTGAAAAAACTGAAAAATCTCGATTTTAGAAAATGCCATCTAGCGTCCTTATTTCGTAACAGAAAGAGCTAATAATTTGGTACTGGGGAATAAGAAGATACGAGCAATCCATTTCCGTCGAAAGAAAATTTCTAAGGCCACTAGTTTCAGTTATGCAACATTCATTTTTATTCTCATGGGCGCCGTATTGGATCTTAGCAGTAACAGATAGAGGATTAAATTACAAACACGTCAGTATGTACTATGTAACACTACTATTTTATTAAAATAAGTATTAAAATAATGTAATTTGCTTGTTTGTTGATTTTTGTTTTACGTCAAGTACAACTAGATTTTATAAATTTTTTAAATAAATTATTCTTTAATTTTATGGGTTATTCCTTAAATAAAATAGTACTATTACATATAGACGTGTTCGTTTATTCTCTATACAGATAGAGAATAATGTTAAGATCCAATATAGCGCCCATAAGAACAAAAAAAACAATTGAATGTTGCATAACTGAAACTAGTGGCCGCAGACATTTTCTTTCGACGAAAATGGATTCCTCGTATCTTCTTATCGCCCAGTACCAAATTTCAGCTCTTTCTGTTTCTAAAATCGCTATTTTCAGTTTTTTCACAATATTTCAGAAACGACAGCAGATATCTTTGTTCTGTTTGTTTTATTTGACCCTGAAAAGGCGAAGTTTTTTCTAATTTGAGCCACTCTGTATATCTTACGGTTTCCCAGCTGCCAATGGTGTGCCATGAAAAACGAACCAGCCTGTATATTGTACCAGCAGTTCCGCTATTAGGTATAGTTGTTACGATGTCAATTGGAATCTGTAAATCTTATGCACTTCTCCTGAAATTTTTTCCTATGCTTTGACCATGATGTGCCTCGTAATTTATACTCGAATAGCAATTCGGCGAGTTCGGTGTTGGTAAACTAGTCCGCCTGATGTAGAATTGACGGCGGCGCGCTGGTCATCAAAGCAAACCTGTATTGGTCCACTAGGTCGTAAATTATTTTTTTAGGTATGGTAACATGGGTTCACTTAGCTTTGCCGCTTCGCCAGTGCAGTGCAGACTATTGCTTGGTGGGGTATGTTGTTGATATAATACGTATTATTATTTATTAGTTATTATTATTTGTTCATATCGTAACCAGTAAAGGGTAATAGTTATTAAAATAAATGTTATATGTAATTATCTAGTAATTTAGCGTGGTTCTCTGGAGACTCTTTGAAGCGGAGGATAATGAAATAACTCGGGAAAATCCCCAAATAGTGGAACCGGTTTTTGTCGAAAGTATCGAAACAAACTCAGAGTTTAAAAACAAAGATTTACACGTAAAAAGTCAACGTATTATATTAAATATATACGAATGTTTGAAATTTGAAAATAGTGAACAATGTGATAAAAAAGTTAGGAAATGGATTAACGAATTAACTAAGATATCAAAAACGATAATTTATCCCGTAATTAAAGAAGGATGATCACGGTACAAAGAGGAAAAGGAAAAATACAAAATTAAAGAAAATTGACGATTTTACCAGATGTAATGCGGCGCACAATTTATAATATTAAAAGAAAATAAAGTTCCTACTTTAAACGTGATTAGAGATAAATTAAGTGATTATCCTGACTATAATTATAAATCTTTAGATATTTTACGACATGCTTTGTTACAATGCGATTTTAAACATAAAAAACTTGACAATCGTATGATAATTATAAGGTAATTTAAATTTTTGTGGACGTCTATGGATTCCGTAGAATTTATGAGTTAAATGTTTTTATGCGGTTACAATTGAATCGCAACAACTATACCGAGATAGTTAAATTATTGGTAAATACATTACATGTCAAACAAAATTATATTTTTAATTGTAATTTATTAATTACAAAACATGAAACTCAGTACTCACAGGGGTTATACAATCTGCAGTTAATATGCAATATGTTGTAAATACTACCTTAAAATAAATACATACTTACATAAATATTTAGCAATTAAGTACTGGTCATCCGGATTATTCTTTATGTCAATAATGATATGTCTTAAAGTCTCGCTAATGTCATATAAAGTTTCATTATCTATATGTCCTATGAGATTGAATTTATGGTGCCAGAAGTAACGTATTTCTCCATATTTTATACTTTTTTGCAATTTTTCTAACATCTGTAATGAGAATTAATGGTGTACTCGTAATACAACTAATATATATATATATATATATGGGTGTGCTTTGCCCCCGGGCCCCCATAATGATTATCGAGGATTTCATATTATCATCCAAAGCAGCTTAAAAAATTATAGATCCAGCCAAAAATTTTTCAAANGTGGAGGTATTTAATTGAAGCACAAACGCCTCCAGATTATTTTTAGGCCAAAATATGGTAAATAGGATAAATAATGTCAATCTAAAGTTTAACATTTTTGAAACCGAACCCAAATCTACAATTATTTCAAAAGATTTTGGAGTAGATTAATGCCAATTTACGTCAATCTATAATATGGAACATCCTTAAAACTCAAGAAAATTACTTACCTTCATAAAAATGTAACTGAGAGGAAGGTTCCAAAATTCTACTCTTCGTGTAAGTACCTCCCATAAAAATAAATTTTTAATGAAAAAACTCACAATGGCATTTTCAATTTTCAACTTATCTCGCAATTTCTAGAAATACTAGGGCAGTGTAGAATATTATCTTCATTAAATACTTAGTAATCTTACTTTAATTAATCTCAAGGCAGGTTTCAATTTTTCTTTACTGTACAGAATATGCCTGTCTTGCTCTTGGAACGACGTACGTAAGTATGCTGTTCCACCTCGAATATTATTGGGAGACTTTGGTATGACATAGAACTCACACTAAAATAAAACAAGTGAGATAGTGTTAAAGTATTATATTGATATTTTATTAGTGTTGTTCTAAGTCTAGCAATTCAGGATAGAGGTTATTTGGATAACTCTGCCCCACAAAAAAAAAAACACTGGGCTGTGGACAAGATCAGTAAGTCTCAAAGTATTTGGTTTGACCCTGACGTCAATAGTACAGTCGTTGAAGCTTTTGATCTTCGAATTCTTTGAAACTGAACCGATCGACTTGAAATTTGGCAGATAGTTAGAGAAAAGGTCAATGAACATTAGTGACAGCGCCAATTGACGCTTCCACCCTGTTGGGAGTTGACACCCCTTCGTGGGGGTGGAATTTTTTTTCAAAAATAACGCTAGAAATCGATAGAGATTCAAATTTTGAGCAAAAAATATTCGAAAAATTTATTCGAGAAATCAATAGTTAGTTATTCACGATTGAAATTAATAAACTATGCATTTTATTAAAAAAAGTGCAATGAACAAAAATGTAGCTTATAAATAAACAAAGAAAATAATTTTTTAAAAAGTGTTGTACGTCAAAGCGAAATATGGTTAGTGGAAGGGGACTTGTTTTGGGGGGAATACTCGAATCGATGTATTCAACGTCAAATAACGGAAAAAGGATTAATTTTAAGTGTATAAAGCTGCTGGAGTTTTTTGTAGTACTGAAAAAGACCTTCAAAATGAGTACTTATAAAAGTTAATTAGAGCAAAATTGAAGGAGTTATCGTCAAAAACAGATGGGTTGCTCATATTAAAATTAATCGTAGACCCTCTACAATTAGTTTTGTTTTAGTGTTTTTCATACGATCCTGAAGTTAGACCGGTTTAGAATGCGTGTTTTTTGAATAATGTACGGTAAAAGTTGAAAACGTATTTTCATTATTCAAAAAAAATTGCCTTATTTATATAATAACTCTGAAACTATGAAAGATACGAAAAAAATGATGTTTGTTGAAAAATGTAGCATTTTTTTCAACAAATATTTTGTTGAATATATATAAAATAAAGGAGATATCACCGCTTGAAGTATCCATTTTAGTGAAAAAAACGACCTGTTTCGAACCCTTCGATCCTTTCCCTTTAAAAAATGAAGGACTTAAAATGTTTTATATGCAAACGATTTTACAGCTCTTGAAATTATCTTTAAAATGCTTTTTTGTAGGATACTATAGCTTCAAAATTAACCGAGTTATGGTAAAAAACCGAAATTTTTTTGCGGAGCAAAATAGGCTTTCTCATTTTTATATATTATATTAACAATATAAGGGAATTTTTATTTTAAATTATTGCACAATTATAGCATTCCAAGATTTAAAACGTAATTTGTTAACATTTTTTAGCACAGGGGTGATTTATAAGGGTTGAAAAGTGTTATGAGATACAAATTCTTTCATAAGCAATGAGGGAATTTTTATTTTAAATAGTTGTACCGTTAAAGCATTCCAAGCTTTTAAAAAGTAATTTTTTATCATTTTTGTCAATACAGGGGTGGTTTTTAGGGGTTGAAAGGGAAATATTCTTTTATTATTTAGCTATAATGTAACTTTATTCATTATTTTTTGCATAGGGATAGTTTTTAAGGGTTAAATAAAGGGTCGAAACTATCAAATATATCATAAAACATGTTCGAGAACATTATTTAATCTTTGTGCTTGAAGATTTTTATCAATAGAATGCTTAAAACTTTTTTACCCCTAAAAAACAGAAAGCGTCAATCGGGCTTATGTCACTTTTGAACTTGAGCCTAAGATGAGCCTTATTCTAAATTTTCATGCAAATCCATGCAGTTTTAAAGAATTCGGAGGTTCCAGCTGATTTTTAGCTTCAATGACTGTACTACAAGAAACTCCTCAAAAAAGCAAGCGATTTTCGAGATTTCAAATCAACTTGAGTAGTCAGTGTTTGGAAAAACATTGGAAAACTCCGTAGTAACAGTTACTAGTTTCAACAATACTACAGATTCAATTCCTATGACTAATAACAAAATATAAAATTAGAGATTGTGACGCATAATAAATAGAACCAAACATGCATAAATTAGTTAGTTCCGATAGAGATTACCTTTTCAGGTTCCTCATGGTATTGTCTAAATCCTTCAGGCCACTGGTCTTTTCCAAATAGAAAGCAAGGAACGAAGTCAAAGTTGAAAAATATGTCTTCAAAATTAGTTACGCGGAAAGTAAATGCAGGACCGTGTCTTTGGAGTTTTATCTACAAATAGAACTTAAAATTAATAATTAAAATTGAAAGGTGCAATTCAAAATTAGATAAGCAGCAAGCTTTCATATCCAATGGAATATTATCTTTAAATATAAGAGACTCAAAGATTCATCACAAGAACTGTTTAATGAAAAAATAAGGACATATGGATCATACTTCAAGGATAGCTTTCCATTTACATTATACTAATCTTGGTTCCTTGAAGTTGTTCATCCTATAATTTTTTTTATAATTGAATTAGAAGGATTTTGCCTTTCCGCTTTGTAAAGAACTGCGGTTAATGCGTTGGCATTTTAGGATAATTTACCTGTAATGTTCCGAAAGCTGTATCTTTCCAAACAACACGAGCTTTTCTTCTCCTGCGGCCCCCTACCCACTTGGATAAGATTTCATGCATCCATAACATTACCTTTTTACTATCTAGAAAGTCACTTTCGTTTATCAGTACATGTAGACCACTGCAATTGAAGAATAATCCTCAATAAATAAAACATGAGAACAGACTGAACCATATTTGAATGTAAAAAAATTAACATAAATTTATCCCAAAACAAAACAATAGCAGCGGCAATTTTTATCGACAGACCGGGATAAAAAGTTAGTTCCGCCCAAAACAGTACACAAATGAGTCGAGGAAATCAAAGGGAACAGGCGAAGGAGGAGATGCTGAAGAAGAAAACCAAAAAAGTGAGGAAATGCCCCCAGAAAAAACAAAAGTTCTGAATTTTCTTTTTTCTGGAATGCGGAAGCAGTCCAGAGGAAGCAGAAAGACAGCGAGTTGAAGAAAAGCGAGACCAAGTCAGAGAAAAAGCTCACCGAAGTGAAGAAAAGTGTTGCCTAGGTTGACATTTCTAATGTAAATACGATTTAAGGAAAGGAAATGTAAATACAATATAAAAATCTATAAAAAGATGTGTTAAAAATGTTTTGGGTTTATTTGATTAATTTAAAAATAGTTCCTCAAAATAAGGACAATAATAATAAGAAAAAAGAAAATTAGCGCATGTTCATCGTTAGCTGGAATATAGGTATGGCGTCGTCCTATACATTACGTACAGTGTGACGACACGATAATGTATTCGAAACGGTACTTAAATTGAACCTCTATCTCAGACGCAAACTTATTTGTGCTGGTGTGTAAATAAACGAGGTTTGGATACTTACTTCATTCCGTAATACGGGCGTCGTATACCAAGCCGACTATTCCACAATTTTCGACTGCTAAAAAGTAAATAAATTATAAATAATTATGAAAGTTTGAACACCTTGATCTAATTTTTTAAATAAGGAATAAGGAAGTAATTTTCTGTTGTGAGAAGTAGAAAAAAAACAATCGTTGCATACTAACTACTAATGTGAACCGTTACAAACTATCATATTCTTGGTTAACTTGACCTTCAGCATTATTTAAATTTTTAGTACCTACATCTGGGATTTGGGACGGGTTAGATAAACCTATAAATATTAATTCCATTTGTAAAAAGGTCGCTAGAAAAGTAATTCCTAAGGGACAGATGTAGTTTATAGTCTGTTTAGAAATGAAAGAGAGTAATAAAATATTATGTATGCAAATCGTAAATAAATGTAGTACTGGTGCTTATATTCAATATTTTTATATTATGTATTATCGGTATAGATGAGGTGTACTTTTAAAAAAACTTTGTGTGACCGATGTTTGTACTAAATTGTAGCAGGTAGCTAAAATTTAATCCCCGACAATCCGTCTTTGTCTATGCCGCTTCAATTTCTCGGTCCATTTCTCTTATAAGTAAACAATATAAAAACAGCATTTCAAAACATGAGGCTACTTTAAGCATCATAACCGGGTTAAGAGGGTTTTTAGTAATTCAAATAAAATTATTCAATATTATTATCAAAATATTTATTTAAATTTAATAAATAGACTTTTATTCCACACAAAAATATATGTATTTTGTAAATTCAAATTATGGTGAGTAAATGTAGTGTTGTATAAATGTAAAATAAAGAAAATAAAAAAGTAGGTATATTAAAATTCATCCTCTGAATATTCTGATGAATTATCTTCGTCTCCTAGATTGATAACGATAGGTTCCACAGTAACGTCAATTAAATTATCGAGTTCGGTACGTAATCTGATAAGCTCGACATTTTACCCAAACAATATTATATCCACTGGCACAATAGCCACTAAACACAAGTCGAATTTTACTCTACTGCACTAGCACGTCTTCGTATATTCAGCTCTAAGACTGGACTGATCTGTCACAATACACTGGCTCCTGCCCTATGATGTATCCAGTAAAATATACTAATGTACACCTATTACCTGTTAGCATTAGTGTTACCCGATAATTACCTGAAACGAAATATTACCACGCCCATGGCCGGTTCTTATCTCGGGGTTTTATTACTCTCTTTCATTTCCAAACAGACTATAGCAGCTAAATTTTTCATTGGTCTTTGTCCAAAGTGACAGAAACAGTATGAGGTTAGATAAAAAAGTAACAAGAATTTTCAAAATTGCGCGTATTATATCTCGCCTATCCAATTGAGTTTTTTTATGTATTGGCAGCACTATCAGTGACGCACCTGTCAATTTTTCACAGCTGCTACGCTTAATTTGTGTTTAGCGAGTGAACGAGTAAGACTTACATCAGTGCTTTTGGCGAATTTTTATGTTCCGAAACACAACACCGTTGTGGCGTCGCGACTACCCTATTCTCCGGACATGACGCCTATGACTTTTTCCTATTCCCCAAACTCAAAAGGATATGCAAAGGAGAACGTTTTTCAATAATAGATGAGATAAATGCAAGGCAAGATGATACCTAAAAAGGATTTCCACCATGCAGTGTTTCTCTCAATCTCTCTTCTCAATTTTTGGGATGGTATCTGATAAGATGGTTCCAAGGTTTCACTTCCACAAGCCATTTGAGACTCAAATAGAAGATCAAAGCAAATGGGAGGAAAGGTTTAATACCCTGGAAAGGTGGAGCCTAGTACAGTTACAGATGGCTCCAAACTGACCAGAGGGACGGGTGCAGGAATATATGGACTCAGACCCAGATGGAGTGCAAGCTACAGTCTAGGGGAGTTCCTTACCGTATTCCAAGCAGAAATTTTCGCGATAATGGCGTGTCTGACAGAGAATGTACGTAGAGGTTATAAACGTAAACTCATATATATATATTCTCTGATAGTCAAGCTGCGATTAAAGCTTTAGGCGCACACAAGATAAGTTCAAAACTGGTGTGGGATTGTTTACAAATGCTGACTGAACTGGCCACCAACAATACATCAGACTGTGTTGGGTGCCAGGGCACAAAGGCATTTGTGGAAATGAGAAAGCGGATGAACTTGCTAGGAAGGAATCCGAAACAGAGTTCATTGGCCCGGAGCCCTTCTGTGGCACATCTCCCAGTGTGGTCAGGCGGGCTCTGGGCAAATGGACTGAGACAGAACACAGGAAATACTGGATCAAGGCCAGGACATAGCCATTCTAAGGAGCTCATGGAGTATCCCTCGAAGGAAAGAGCGAAAGATTTACTGAGCTTGAACAGAATCCGGCTCAGTAGAGTGACAGGACTCATAACGGGACACTGTCACTTTAGGAAACATCTACATAAGCTAAAGCTTGTAGACAGTCTAGTCTGCCGAGGATGTGAATCGGCGGATGAAACTTCTCTGCATATCCTGGGCGAGTGCCCGGGATTTGCACGTAGCAGAATGGCGCGCTATTGGGAGACCCTATTTGGAACCCAAGGAAATGAGAGAAGTGTCAGCAAGGAAGCTTTTGGACTTTGGAAAAAGGACAAATCTACTTGCTGAATAGGACTAGTAGTGGGACGCACAATAGGCCTAATCAGGCCGCAGTGCTATGGGACTTATTAGGACCAACCACTAGAAGAAGAAGAAGAAGAAGGCGGTGGGAAAAAATTAAGATTTATGAGAAAATTAACAATTCCCGTTACTTTTTTATCAAACCTCGTATGCTTATATCTCGGATAGTAAAATATGTAGTAAGTATATTCTCTTTTAAAATTATGTTCAATCGTTTTGGTAAGTATACAAAACATTAAATAGCACAAACGTTTGATACATGTTGTTATAAAACGAAACTTTCAGTTGTCTCAAATATACTAAACTATTTGACACTAAATTTAAAGTCTGTAATATTGCAAAACATAATTATTATGTTATTTTATGTTCTCTTTTTACAATCATATGAAATGTATATATTTAGTATAAATTTCAAAAGAATAGTTGTTTAAGGAATACCTACTAATACTAAGATACTTACTTATTTCTGGTTCTTGAAAACTGTAGGTGCACATATCCACTTTTATAACTTGAAATCATCTGACAGTTATCTACAGCGGGAAAACACAACTTAATATGAATATCGTACTCATCTGGCCTTTTTATTTTCAAGCCTTCATAGTAACTACCCCCAAAGTAAGGAGCACGATATAAATTGCAAAAAAGTTCGTTGCTTTTGCATGCTTCAATAATTTCATTCAAAAGCTGAAACAGAAACATCCTGTAATTTATTTCAGGAAAAATTCAAATAAATATTGCTCTGAGGATTTACAAATAAAATAAGATTATTTACAGCTTTCTTCAATTTTGGAGGCAGCGCTTGGCATGCTGTTTTAATTTACCTGTTCAGTTGATACGATAAGGCAAAGTAAATTAATTTGTTTGATTGGAAAAGGGAAAGAAAAGAGCGGATGTGGTCCAAACAGATAAAAGCTTGGTTAGAGAAGTGTTATAATTATTAGATAAACACCGCTATAGTAGTTGATAAGTACCTTCCCTCCTTTTTTTATCCATATATTCCTTACTTTTGACCTTTCAAAAACACGGATTCTTTTGATAGGTAAGTAAAAAGCAACGTATAACATCTTATTGACGCTGAACAGCCATTTTGTACTGGTTATATGTAAATATCAACCAAGGTAGGTTAAATAGCCCTCATTTAAGTCCTTTGGATACATTTTTGTGGGGATAGATTTCATGATGTGAAACCACTAAAACTTCGAGATAAAATAACTCATCAATATCATCGTAGTTGATAGCTAAAACTTTAGTACCTATTTTATCTTAAATTGAAAAATAAAAAAGTTGAGAGGGGTTGACATAATTCGGCACTTTTCAGGATTTTCTCCTATTTGATTCTCTTAAGAGAATTTTGTTCATTTTATATAATGCTCTCTAACTTTTTTTTTTGAAAATATTTGATTTTTGTAAAAGCATTACTACTTACAATTACTTGTTAGTTGTTATCAAATCAAAGGGATCATTTCGTTTTCTAAAAAAACGAAGACATTTATGAAAAATGTATTTATAAAAGTGACAGGTCCTTAATTCTTATTTGCCATTTTCTTACTGCTCTCGTATTTCTATTTTGCGATATATTTCTGCACATATTTATTAAATTTCTAGAAATAATCTTTAATAAACGTTTTAAGCGCATATTTACTGCCGCGCTAATTCGTGACGTCATTTAGTGCGATCAACAGTCGAGAAAATGAATATGACAAGACTGCATGAAGCACAGTAAGTAACAAGAGTCTAGGGACAGATAAATTCATTTTGCTTCAATTCTTAATAAAAAAATAGGTTTTCCTGTGTGTAAAACGTACGGAAACGACCCACATCGTAGAATTAATTCCATTATAGTCATCCCTTGTTGCGTCACATAAGAAACGCCTATGGTCCAGAGATCCTCGAAGAAAAGTGGATCGCAGTCCCTAGACGTTAGTTAGAGATTTAGAAGCAGGAAGCAGGGTAGTTCAGTCGCACTAAATGATGTCACAATGCGTTCCTGATCACGTAACAAAGGTTAAATTTTTACATAATTTATAAATAATTTCTAGTATTAAAGACAATAATTATTTTTTTACTACTGTTAGTTGTTGTCGGTAATAGACTACAAATTTATGTAGTTTTAAAATAAATTAGAGTTAGTTAGGGGTTGAACAGTACTCACCGCAAGCAAAATTTCTGTGTTCCTTTTTTTCTCTTCTTGTGGTAAAGCTACGTACTCATTATGAATCATTTCTAGGGTCTTGTCCATAGCGCTATATCTGTAAGGATTCTCCATTTTGCCAGGAATAGAATATTTACATACCTATTAAAATGTGTAACTGTGCAAGTAGTATCACTGAAATCAAGAAATTTTGACAGTGTGACACTACTTAATTTTTAATACATTAATTGAGACAAAAATAACATTTTTATAGACCACTTTACTATCCGTCAGCTGGACTATGTCGTTGGTTTAGATTTCTTGACTTTTGTGGAACTATAAAATTAAGGGTATCTACCAGTTTTTTTCAACATAAATTACAAAACTCCAAACAGTTTCGGAAACTAAATTCTGTTTAAATGATAGCAGCAACAAAAGAGCATTCTTTAGGCCAATAAAGAATTTTTATATAAATTTGTAGTGGTTCAAGATAGTCTTCACCTCGGTCTTTGACGATGATTGTGCAGAATCACTAATAAGTAAACGAAAAATTGTGCAAACTATCAAAGAAAATATATGACATGTATATATCATTGTAATCAGAAAAAAGAGACGAATCCAAAAAACGGCAAACATATAGGATGCCCCATTAAAAAAATATGTTAAGTCATTGGTTTTTTATACACTCTTTAACATTTTTTCCTGTATAGAAAGGCAATAAACACAAGGGGATTAGAATGTTATGTGAATAACCCTGCACATATAAATCGGATTGAAAATATAAAAAATGTATTTTTCTAAAAAAAGTATGCTATCATCTTATTTTTATCATTAAATCCCGAAACTGAATTCTTACTCGGAAAACGTAAGAGATAGATAATAATGTATGTAATTTTCTTTACATTACTGAAATAATAAAAATATATTCGTAAGGCTATTTTAGCTCCTATATTAATATATGGATTCAGATTTTCGTCTTTCAGCAACCAACATGAACTTCATTTATGTTATTTTCCTTCAATGTTGATAAATATATGCTTTAGAATGTAATATTTGGTATAAGACTTATAATAAATAACAAAAATTTTGTCTGAAGTCATTTGTTTTCGGCATACTTTTAGTTTTTCTTCTGTTTATAATAATGATTCCCAAAGTAGTCTATATCGACCCCTAGGGGTCGACTCGGAACTGCAAGTGGTCAATGTCAGCGAAATCGAAAATTGAGGGTGCATGAGATGTGAATGGGGTTCCACGAGAATGGATCTCATTTAAACAGGTTATGACCGAAATTTTGGCTTTTCATAAATGGAATGAATTACATAAAACAGATAGTACCTATGTACTTACTAATACTTTCTTATAATAGACATAAATTACGTATGAATATTTTGAGCTAGATTTGGGGAACTTTATGATTCCATGCTTTAATCATGGGAGAATTCGAGATCGACATGTCAAACCAACAACTTAATAGACTCTTTTAGTGTGACGTCACATATTTAGGCAACCCGCAATAAATTGTCATAGTTCAAATTGTACAGACCGAATCTGACCCTTGTTCTATTTACATAGATACTAGAAAAATGAACAACTCAACTTCAAATTAATTTATTTTTACAAGAATTTAGAAGTATTTAAGAACAACCAACAGTGTTTGGTAAAATAGATACACTAACGTACTTAAAATTTAGAAAAAAACGATATAAAAGTCCTAAAATAAAGTAAAAATTTAACATTAGCCGTGTTATCCCTAATGCGCATGTTCGGAAAGAATAGCATCGTACGTAGGTAAGATCTTGTTGATATGTCTGTCATCTCCCGTCATCAGTAGCGTTATCTTCTCTTCTTTTATTTAATCATTTTCTAGTTTTACTAAGTAGCTATTTTTATTGTTTTCATTGGTGTTGTGCGGTGTCAGTGTATTTATCGAGTGTTCTTTCTTCAAATGGTTTATTATAGACGTACTCTTAACGAATACCAAACTTTTCTTGAATGATATCCTGTTGCGAGGCTACTTCGCTTACACGAAATTATTTAATGCGCATGCTCAGTATTATTGATATAATTTTAATTTATTAATTACTATAAAAGTCAATATTGCTCTATAAATTTAAAAACATAAATTCTATAATTCTTTTAGTTTGTCACTTGGATTTTGAAACTTCTTAAATATTTCTAATATTGCCGGAATATCGCGATATTTAAGGTCATGGCAAAGATTAAGACATTTAACATTTAAGACATTTGTTTGGCACTTATGTCCCAAGTACATAGGGTCGAAAATCGACCTAGTAAAAATACTGATAGCAGTTTTACATAGACAATTTATTGATGAATTAATTCATGAAGTCGCTTCATTAAGAAATTGGACAAGTGTAATGCACCAAATCTGCTGTCAAATAACTTCCATGAATTTATTCATCAAGTTCTTGACGAATTAGAGCATGTTCTAATTTTCGTCAATTTCTTTGTGAAGTTCTGAAGTATCAACCCAACAGATTTCCAGACTCAGATCAGTAATGAGGTTATGTTTTTGGAATATGTAAATAATTGTGTAGCTTCGTACTAGTTTTGCATTGTTTTTACTGATTTGTTAGCTACTTACAAACACTAATATTTATATAATATGTGTCAAAACGGTACCGCTGTTGTATCACTACAATTAAGGCCGGGACACAATTGAAAATTATAAAATATAAATATAAAATATTAAATATTAAATATAAAATAGAAAATTCGATAAATATGCTTTCATATAGTGACACACAATGGGAAAATAAGATAACAAATAAGAAATATTTTTCGACACGTCGGAATTTAATATTTATATCTTATATTTGACCAATCAAATTAATGTACCATTTCCATACCGCCTCTCCAACACTTATAAATAAAGTGTTTTTGTTTTGTTGTCGAGTTTAATCCCAGGACAAAAGGAGATCCCACAAAGCGCCTACACCGGCCGCATTTGCGGTCGGGGTAGACGACGGATGGGGCCCACCTACGAAGGCTGTCCAGGCCTACACGAGATGAGGCAGGATAAAGAGGGATAATCCCCCTCGATCCCAAATCATTGAGGCCAATTTCTAGCCATAGAATAATGGCGCGAGTTTAATGTCTGTAAAATGGTAATCAGAAAGAAACAATTATTAATGTCTTGCTTTCCACATTATTTCAATTATGTCTGATAAAGCTGTGCCGAAGAATACTACTCATTGGTCAAATTGTTATAATCTATCATCAAATTATTATCATTGTGTCAAACATTTATGTTTAATATGTTATATATTATATCTTATATTTAATATTTTCTATGAGAGAAATTATTATGAGAAATTCTTCATGACAATAGGCTTTTTTTCGCGAGTGAAGTCGTATGTTGTAGTATGTGTAGTATGAATGAGTGAAGAGATTTAAATTACCACAGGACAACTAAGATCAAAAGAGATAGAAATATAATATAATTCAATGTTCAGTCGCGAAAAAAAGCCTATAGTGTACTATGGGGTTGCCTATTATTTGGCGTATGTGACGTCACTACTAAAAAGGTCTATCCCTTTGAATTTTAATTAAACTAATATTCTCTTGGGTTTCAACCTATTTCGTTTTACTCGTAAAATAATTATTACATTTTTGTTATTGAAATTTAAGTTATTATTTTCTTATATACCTCTCAAACTGTTTAAGAATTGTTATAAATTGCATGGCAAACAAATATTTTATTCACTACCCTCAATTAGGTACATATTAAGATTAAGTATATTTCGTAAAATTGTGCAGTAGGCTATTCCACAGCCTCCTACATCTTGTACAGCTGTGGCTGTGGCTATTCGCTTTGTGGTCGCAACACTTGTAACATGTAAAAACTTATGCTGTGTCAGATGTCAAAAACACATTTGAAGTTGATTTGTAACAATTCAATAATTAGGATAAAATTTGTGTAAGTGTTAAAAAACTCAACATTTTTTCCATTTACCCGGCTTGTGGCAGCTAAGTACCAATTTAAGTTAACCTCAACAGCCAGTTTGTAGTTACTGTTACCTACTTACTCCTACAAGTACAAGTCGTAAATGTACGGGGTTTTGTCCTCAACTGAATTTTATTGTTGAGAAATGTAAAGAGAGTACATAAAACGTAGACACTTCACTTATCACACTATTTGCACTGTTTGTCAATTTACAGAACTCGTTAGATGTAACTGTTTATCGAAATATTTTGTTAATAAAGTAGGTACTTTACACAATGGCACATCAATCCACTTAGCCGTGACTCATACCACAGAGTCAGAAGATTATCTTCTGTGCTCTTACTATCATGCAACAAGTGCCTATGTTTGCCGATATTCTGATCAATGGCGTAGTTAAAACTTTTATAGAATATACAGAAGGGGTCGTTAATTAACTGATATTACATATTAATACAATTATGCAAATAAAATATTTCCATTTATAAAGAAAATGTGGATTTAAAAACGTTAAGTTAAAACAACTTATCTATTAGGGAAAAATGTATTTATTTCTCAACCAGGTATTTGTGTCTGTTGTTAAAAAATTTAACTACCTTAGTAAAAAAATCAGACGCAAATTGGTCTTTCGGAATTTATTTTTGCAGAAGTTAGTTGAATCAATTCTACATTAGAGAACGGAATGTTCTGAATTTACGTTTTATTATTATTATCTGCGGCCTTATAATGATGAAACAAATAAGTATCTCGAGACATACAAATTATTGCATTTTATTTTTCAGTTTCTACATTATTTTTTTGTTTAGACAACTATCTTTTCTGTTACAGCTGTGGACAATAAAAAGTTTTAAAACCTGAACAACAAATGGTCCTCTACAAAAATTTTGACGAGTACTTAGAAATGTTCAAAGTCTAACTGATGATGTGAGTGTTTTCAGTGAACTTACTCATAAACATATTTACTGAAATAAACTTATAAAATCAACTCCTTACATAATCATTTTAATGTAAGGGGTTATTTATTTAATATGTTGTAAATAATTTGATTTAATTTTCTTTTCCATGTAGCAAATTATCAATTATAATGGAAAACATTTTTAGATTTGTTCTTACTATTACATAATAAAACTCTTTTTCGTATAAATAATATATTCTGTTGTAAAAATATACACATCGTATAAATCATCGTCTTACAATTATTAGTTTAATATAATTAAAATACGTAATATAGCAAAATATTTAAAATCATATTTATGTCACAAACTTTTTGGGAATTTTTATATTTTGGCCTTGGACATTAGAAGACTTAATTCATTATTTGTGGATAATTGTTTCTGAAACTGGATAAATTCAGAATTTGTACCTGTAAAACAAGCAAAGGGTTAGTAGTACAGTCAATGACCATTTTCTCGTATAATTTTACCAAACAACACCGATTTTCATAAAAATTTGGATTTAGGTTCTATTTAAGTACCCTCTACTTCAAAGTTGACCTTGTACAGAGGGTTGCTTTTACTCTGGGGGTGGATGCCACCCCTTCTCGGGCTGAAAAATGTTTTTAACCAAAAAAACACTTTTTCAGACGGTTCGCGAATAACTCAAAAAGTATTTTATTAAAGAAAATCATTATGATAAAAAATGTAGCTTATATAAAAAACAAAAAGAATGGTGTATTTATGGTGTCTAGACCCAATACAAGCGGAGTAATAGCTTGTTGAAGGTTGGTTCTTATTCGTCAAACGCCAAAAGTTTGAACGTGAAATAACCAAAAACTAATGCATTTTTCAGGGAATACTCATGGAACCTTTTTTCAAGAGCTTGAAAAAATCTTTATTTTTGTTTTAAATAAAGTATAAAACTCCCTAACATCAAACCTAAGCGAGTTATGACGAAAATAAAGTTGGTCCGTATTGTTTTCGGCGACAAAAAAACTGAAAATCGCCCCCTAATTATAACCCCAATTGAAAATAATCGTTACCACTTTACAATTTACTTTATTTATGTATGTACTTGTAATATGTTCTGGAAGTTTGACCGGTTTAAAGTGCTTAGTTTTGAAAAAAGTTGAGCTTGAAACGAAAAGAGAATTTTTGTATTTTTGGAGAAAATTCTCTTTTCTTCAAAATAACTCAAAAACTATTAATGACACGCAAAATTTTGTGGAGTACAAAATTGTAGGTTTTGCTTTCTTGAAAATTTTGTTTTTTTTTTCTGCAGGATAAAAATTGAATTTAAGAATTGCATATGTTTGTAAATAGCAACTTGTTCAAGCCCTTTCAGCTCAAACCCCTACAAAAATGAAAAATAAATTATTCTTATTGCAATTTTTTTCCTGATCGTCAAGTCTGACGTTTAAATTTATAGCCAACTTTAGAATTTTCGATGATTTTAAATAACACAGCTACAATACGTGTTATTAGTCATTCGTGTTTTTGTTGAAAACGACAAAGTTTTTTGAAAACTAACAAGAGAAAGGAAAGTTTTATAATTAAATTTCCCATAAAATATATTAATAATTTTTTAAGTCCGCCAATGGGTTAAAAAATTCTGTCGCATTTTAATGGTGCATCATCCCTTATAACCCTTTAAGTTCTTTACGCGGTAAAATGCTTTTTTAAGTAAATAATTTTAAAGTCAATTTAGAAATTGTCCAAAAACTTTGCATCTAAATTTTGCACCATTTGAAGTAGTTATTTTAAAAAGCAAATAAAGTTACAGCTCTCAAATACAAGACACTTTAACTAGGGTCGAGAAGGATAAAACGTTTACATCGAAGTACAATTTAAAAAAAAAATGGGGAAATATATGCGTTCCAATTCAAATAACAAACTTACATAAATATTTAGCCACAAGCAACGGATTCTCTGGATGTTTCTCGATGTCGTCAATAATGGCTTTGATCCTGTTACTTACATTCGATATTGTCTCTGGTTTTATATTTTTTAATAAATTATTATTTTTATTCCAAAAATAGTTTATTTTTCCAGCTTGTAGACAGTTATAATATTCTTTTAGCATCTAAAAAAATAAATAAATAAATAAAATCATCTGTACGAAAAATTGCAAATTTAATAACTAAATATTGCTATTACAAACAATCACAAAACATAAATATTTTACCTAGTATCTATACTTATTACGATCTAATTATTTTAACAATCTTACGAATAAAATAATAAAACATATAAAGCAAATCATTGAATGTAAATGCTATGGGAAAGTAAAATATGATCGTCCAATCAAATCTTAGATTTCTGTAGTATTCAGAAAAATATACCTACAGAGCGTTTTTTTTGATAAAAAAATGAATTCATCTTGAAAAGTCATATCCTACTTTTCCGATCTGTTGTGAACAATGTGATCAATTATAGACTACAAGCCCATCGGAAATTTTCAAGGGGTCATTTGACCCAGCATGAATTACTTATAAATTAATATTACCACATATAACAATAACTTAGAAACTATGCCGTCAATTCTTGTTGGTACAGGTGAGTACACAGGTAAGCTAAACCTGTCCACCAGAGGGTTTCGGCAAATCATTTTTGTATGGCACTTCTAAAGTATATAGGTTATACAAAAAAAAAATGAACCTCGACCTAATGCCGTACAAAAATAGCAATACCGGAAGCCAGGAAAATATTTGATTTTCCGAAAATTTTGGCCCGGGTTTTGGTGATTTATTACAATACGGTATTTATACTGCAAGTTTCGGATCGATACATAGATAAATTTTTAAACGACGCCGTGCGTACTTGCTGATACAGGGGTTAGGAATACAGGGTGCAAGGTGCAACCCTCTATTTGTAAGTAACGTATGGGTGATTTGAACTAATTTTAAGTCGATTTTATAAAATAATGACATTTTTGGCCATGCCGTACATTTTTTTATGGAACATGTGCTTACTATAGGAAAATTAATTTCCCTCTGAAAAGTAGGATTTCACGGTGAAAAATGTTTGTACGGCATTAATATATTTTGTTAATACTGACAACAATAATCAACAAAAGCAAAATGCCGTACAAAAAGAATGGTTCTAAATGGCTTGAAATATATATTTGCAAATAAGTATTACTTGCAAGAATTGATTTTATTTTTACTACTATTTTCTCACAAATTATTTACTACTGTACGGCCTTTATATAATAAGACTTACAATATCATATATAAATATTTTTCAGTAATGCCGTACATATTTGTCGATACAAGAGTGAGAAACCCCGGATGCAAACCCCTATATTCTGACCCTTATGGTTTGCGATCATTGAAAAATGGTCGGCATTGTTGCTAAAACATTATTTAAAATGTAAACTAAGTTTTATAGACCAGGGTCGATAATTTTTGAAACCAAAAAAAATTATAGAAGGATGAAACCCATTGGAAAAGAAAGAGAATATAACAGAAATGAAAGGAAAAATAATTTACGGGCGATCTGAGATCGGGAGGGGGTAGGGGGTGAGTTTTTAAGGGTAAAAAACGGTTTCCCTTGATTTCCAGAAAAACTACAAGTCTTATGGAAAAAAGTTAAATAGCAAAGTTGTAGGTAATAAAAAGATCTACAACTTTTGTATTTACACTTTTTTCACATAACCTCAAAATTTATGTGAAAAATTCAAATAACCAAGTTTTTGGTTTTTTATTTTTTGTCTTTTACAAAAAATTTTTTTTTAACGAAATTTGGTGAAAACTTACCTATTTATGTCCCAAACACGCTGTAATTTTTTTGATTTGAAATATTTATTTTTTCACCTTATTTTTACTTAATATCGAAAAAGCACCCTAATTTTCAATCGAAAATTCTCACGTCAAACTATCTGCTTTTTTAAAAACGTCGGTGGGTTTTTCTTCGTTGAAATCTCTACTTTCTGATGGTGTAAAAAAAATATACATTACTATGGTAAGGTTTCTCAGGAAATGCAAAGAAACGAAAGAAGATTCTACAACTTTCTCAAAATATTGTAGATGTCTTATTAAATATTAACTATTAACTTATTTGGTTATTAATTATAACAGTATATTTCGACTTGTAAATTTTAATAAATAGCTCAAAATTGTACATAATGATTAGAAAAAATTTTTCGGATTCTAGTTCGTTTCTTAGGCTTAAGCGGTCTATTAAGTAATATGCCGTTAAAAAACCATAGGTCAATAAAAAAATTATTAATTTTATAAATTTGAAAAGCTTATATTAATTTTTTTTCACAACAGTCTTAGTTGTTTTTGTAACAAATGTACTTTTAAATTATTTTTACTAATTTTAAACATATTGTATGCCAATAGCTTCATCACAATTTTTGCATAAAACAATTGTTGTATTGTAAAGTTGCAAATATGCAAATGCGAGGGTACTGTTACTTCAAAACATATACATATGTATTATATCACTGTTTTAAATGTAATTATTTATATAGGAATTCTCATGAATATTGAGTTAAAATTAATTGTTTATTATTATATTTATTTAAAAATAATACTTTCTTGCACGTCATTAAATTTCTAAATTTCTCAAAATATTTTCTCGATTCTCTATATACAATTTTTTTAATCTTAAAGATAATGCCATCATAATTTCTACGGTATAAATTAAATTTCTCTTGAAATTAGGATAAAAATCATTTTGGACTTTTACAATTTCGGAGAATTATTCTAATGAATATGTACGGCATTGCAATTTTCATTCTTTGTCATATTTCTGATGAAAATTTGTAAAAGCCGTATCGTTATTAATGACCTAAAAATGTAGTAAAAATTGAATGAAAAATATTGTCATCTATGTAAAATCCACTAGTTAAAAATATACGGCAGTTTTTTATATTTTTTTACTCATGAAAAGTCAATTACGGACATAATATTTTGAATATAACATTCTTAGTTTATAACAAGGAATTTTGAAAATATTTTAAATTTTCAAAATTTATTTATTTGTTTTTTTTTTAATTTGTACCATTAATTATAACGTGCCATGATTTAGTACAATAGTTTTTGGTTATATTTTATTAAAAAAGTGATTGCCGTACAGGAATTAATGATCTTATCGAAAAAAATAAAATAAAATTCCAAAATACAAGTAATTGTTTATAAACTTTTGCATTAGCCATAATTTTCAGACGGCGTAGTTGCTAAGAATTATTTGGAGAGTTAAATAATCATGTGGAATCGATGCCGTACATTTTTCAATGACTTGAAACAATGGGGGCTAAAATAGAGGGTTGCGCTCAGCATTTCTAACCCCTGTATCAGCAGATACGTACGGCGTCACTAAAAAAGTTATCTACGTATCAATCCGAAGCTTGCAGTATAAATGCCGTACTGTAGTAAATCACCAAAAACCGTGTCAAAATTTTCAGAAAATCAAAAATTTTCCTGGCTTCCGGTATTGCTATTTTTGTACGGCATTAGGTCGAGGTTAATGTTTTTTTTGTATAACCTATATATACTTTAGAAATGCCGTACAAAAATGTTTTGCCGAACCCCCCCCCTTTGGTGGACAGGTTTAGCTTACCTGTGTACTTACCTGTACCAACAAGAATTGACGGCATTATATGTGGTAGTATCGATTTATAAGTAATTCATGCTGGGTCAAATGACCCCTTGAAAATTTCCGATGTGCTTGTAGTCTATTAGGCATAATGCATAATGTTTGAAACAAGCAAAGTAATAAATAATGCTTGACATGATAATGAATTTAATTTTGAAGTAAAAGTTTTAAAATAAACCAGGCTATCTGATACGTATATTTGAAAATTCAATTTTTGTCAAACAAAAAAGTTGCAGCAAAAAAATAATTTAGGGGATGCTTATTTCAACCACCTCCAAGAGGCAGATATTTTAGAAAAATACAACTTTTTGTATATTTTTTAAATTTCAATGATGTAGCATTTACAAAGATCAATGGTATCATATTACTTTTTATGCCCTTTTAAATCGGTATATGTACTTACGTTCATGAAAACGTAACTCAGAGCTCCATTCCAAAAAGTCTCATCTCTCTTTTCTGTTTGCCACAATATCACTGTTTTAATATAGTAGCTTGCAATACACTTGTGATCCATGTTATCTCTCAGTTTCTAAAAAAAATATATTTCATCTAAGAACTGCTAAATATAACAAAAACAAGTCAGCAAAAACGTTCTGCACAACACAGATTCGCTTAAATGTTTTAAGATTCATATATTTAAACGATATTCTGAAAAATACAAACTTTTAGGAATTTTACGGCAGGTTTCAGATTTGACTTAGAATCGATTATAACCCTTTCTTGTTCTTGGAATGATAGACGCCAATATCTGCTACCCTTTGAAACTCCCTTCAGCGGTTTTGGGACGATGAAGTATTCGGGCTTCACCAAGAACAAACAATAATTAGTTGTTTTGATTAATTTTTATGTACTACTAGAAAAACCTTTTTCGGTACGGGGTTAGACCTGAACCCATTTACGGGCCACTTCTCTTTTCCAAAAATAAAACACGGAACGAGATCTACGTCCATAGATATATTTCTTCCGTTTATATTTCCGTGCACTTTTAATGTGAAGGCAGGCCCTCCTTTGCAGATTTTTGCCTGAAATATGAAATTATGGATATCCAAAAGCAAATTGACATTTCTATTTTCTAAATGTCACATTTTCGTTGAGAAATAAGTTACTTATCGCTTATCGAATGAATGTGGAGACTGATATGACAGCTTTTGTATTTAAAAATACTCAATTTTGCCATTTTACCTGTTTCAAAAGATAATTTCTTGTGCATGTTGCACATTATTATTATTATCCATTTTTCGATGATGTGAATGTGAAAAATGTCATATTTTTCTTCCTATTTAATTATGTATCTTTTCAAGAGTTGATTTTAGGCGAAAATGGAAAAGGAAAAAAATGTTTGTAATTAAATTTTACAAAATATGACTAGTTACAAATCGAATGAATCATGATTATTATTGTAAAATAGAAAAAAATCGCCAAAAATGGGGTTAAAAACATTACTTTTTAGGAAATTTTTTTGAGGTCTTTAAATTGGGTATAGGACCTTCATACTTGGCTCAAGAAAAGTTCATGTTATGTAGAATCATCACACCAAATTTCATCAAAATCTGTTCTATACATTTGGCATAATAATTTTGCAATCCAGATTTTGAAAAAAAAATTGCAAATTTTCAAAATTTTGCACAGCAAAAACAAAGACCCTTAGATACTTGAAAATTTAATCACATATAGAAGGGCTCTCAAGCTTTCAAACGCTTTTTGAAAAATTCGAATCCGTCAATTAGGAGAGCTCTGGCGCTTGTTTAAACATTGGTCGAATTTTTCTACTATAATTTTGTATTTTTGTAAGTAGGTTGCCAATGAAGAAAAGTATTGTAATCTTAGACCTGGTAAGTACTCGGAATACCGAAGGTATTTTTCGAAAAATTTGCCCGGATGTCCCAGTACATTTAGTGTAAATGACGGTTAACTTTGATCGGCTCTAACTACGTAACTAATTGACCAATCGATCTGTTTTTATTTTAAAGAAACGTCTTTCCAATAACTTTTAAAACCTGCTTTAAAAAATTTGATTTGATTGAATATTCACAGTTATTCTAATAATTGTTTATAAGTACAAAAATTCAACCAATGTTGAAACAACCGCCAGAGCTCTCCTAATTGACGGATTCGAATTTTTCAAAAAGCGTTTCAAAGCTTGAGAGCCCTTCTACATGTGATTAAATTTTCAAGTACCTAAGGGCCTTGGTTTTTGCTGTGCAAAATTTTGAAAATATGCATTTTTTTTTCAAAATCTGGATTGCAAAATTATTATGCAAAATCTATAGAACCGATTTTGATGAAATTTGGTGTGATGATTCTACAGTTTTTTAGTAATTCCTCAGAATATTAATCTGAAACTAATTTCGAAAAATTTTCGAAATTTTTAAAGTTTTTTTTTTGGAAAACCTTCCGGACATTGAAGAAAACAAAATTCAATTGTTTCCAGCACGATTCGGCTTTTCCTTCCTATGCTTCCGTTCATCAACTTTTAATTAAATTAAAATTAAAGTTGATGACCCAAACCAGATTTCGACCCTGATTCATACCGTTTTTTGAGACAAATATCTAATCAATTTTTGTGCAGTCTGTAATCACTTAAAACAGAACTAAAAAACAGTTTTTTTCAAAACTACCCTTTTTCGTCTTAATTAATTAAAAAAAATTATTTTTCATCAATTTAAACGTTATTTGCGGTAAAAATGTGAGAAAACCTCAATAAAATAGATGATGATTATGAAGTGTTTAAGTTAAAATACGTGACCCTTTAATTTTTTTCAAAAGTTTGACTGTGAAACAAAGAAACGGGTCGCTAGATCGAGATGAAACTTCACAGGGTTCTTCTGGGTATATCGAACTGTAAAAAGTCATGCTTAACATTAGTCATTTCGTGATATTTCTAATTTAGCCGTCAATTTTCTAAAAAATACATAAATTACCCTTTTTTCCTTTTTTTCCTGTGTAAAAGATGAAAAATTTTTCCAAAAAGTGTCGGCAGCATGTTATGGGAAATTTATTCCAGTTTTCGAAAATGTTCTTCAATTCTCTGTACGATCATTTGTCGCCGTGATATCGATGATTGAAGACGATATTTCGCTGAAAAATGGTCGTATCGAAATTTAAAAAAGGAAATTGAAGCTGAATAAACAAGCTATCTGGTCTATGCAATGGCTTAACTGAAAAAAAAATTCCATATCCGTGGAAAATTTTTTTGTCGCCCTATTTCTTAGAATTGCATGATAACCTAAAAATTTTAGACCGAAAGATCTAAAAACTAGAACCTTAGAGCTTCAAAATGCTTTTTTTTTAATTCCCGATACGACCTTTTTTCACCCTAAATAGTTTCTCAAAAATCACTGAAAAATTTCGGAAATTCTTTTGACCCTTTAATTTTTTGCATTAGTTCGCTACTTTTTTAAATCAATCAACAGTCGGCTTATAATTCGCTCTTCAAATTTCACTTAAACTTCTGTCTACGCCACTACTGGTCAGCTCCCGAACTTAAATGAATCAATGTTATCTGTTGTTAAGCCAATATGTTTATTTTAAAGTTAATGCTTCGTCTACAGTGACAAAAATAATTTGAGGGTTAAAAAAATGTTTTTGCATGATTTATTAAATATTAACTAATATTGATATGTGGACAGACAGACATACACGTTACTAACTGTAAGGAAAACTAATTTATGTTTTAAAACTTACTATTATTATTGCTATTTTACTTACTAATCTGATAGATTATAAAGATTTTATAAAACAATTTAAAGTTTTTAATAAAAAGTATTCGTTCTATTTTTTGAAGCACTGTGTTTAGCTTGTGAATATCAGTGTTAGTGACCTTTGGCACTGACCTAGTTTAAGGAACTAGGTACATCAAGAAAGACGAGAAATAGTATACTCACAAGAAGTGTCCCGCAAGGAGTTTTGAATACAGCTTCGTTATCCTTTTTTTCAAATTCGTTTAAGGCCACGGCAACCACACTCTCCATCCATCGTAACACTTTTGCAGTATCCAAGTATTGCGATTCGTCAATAAGTTTATCAATTCCCCTACAACGTTAATTATTATAGAGGCATCGGAATGTATGAACTAATGAATAATTTCGCCCAGGAACAAATTGTGTCAAATTTTCGTACAAAATATGAAGAAGCGACATTTACATTTAGGTTATTTTTCCAATTGTAAAACAATTGTCTACAAGTAGTAGATTTTGGTATATTTTTAAGGTCTTTGCTCTGATACTATTTGTACAGGGTGATTCATTAACAATGGGAAAGTCGAAAGCTGACGATACTACACGTGAAAAGGTGACCTTTGGCGCAAACATGCCTTATCCGAAAGTTAATAGTTTCGGAAATACAGGATGATGAAAGTTAAAATTTTAAATCGTTTTTTTTTCGATTATTCTGAAAATATGTAGGTTAGGAACTTGAAAATTTGTGAAACTATATTTTTTTAGACGACGAATAATATGCCTGTTGTAATTTCAGCATTGCTCATAGAGGGTGCTACTTACGACCAATTTGACCGAAAATTTAGTTAATAATTTTTTACCCTGTATATTTAACATGAAACTTGATACAAAACACGAATGAGCTATAATTTTTCCATTAATTATGTACTCTTGTTTGATTTCGATATCCGTTTTTGAGAAAAATCGATTTAACCAACACTGTTTTGATAATATGAGAAATTAAAAGCGAAACAAACCAAGTGCTTCTTCGTGTTATTACAACAATTAAGAATAAAACAAATAAAATACGTAATTATGATTTAAAGTAATTGTTCGAAGAATCCACCGTTAACACTCATACACTTTACACGTTTTCTGAGAGATCTTCGAGTTTGAAACAACATATTGGTATTGCGTCTGACTTCGTTGGCAGCGATTTGTATTCTTTGCCACAACTCTTCACACGAGCCAATAGAATCTTTGTAAACTATATCTTTCAATCGAGACCAAAAAGAAAAATCAAGAGTATTGAAGTCCGGACTTCTGGGTGGCCAAGCAAAAATGATTACATGGCCAATTCCGCGATATG